AAAAAGAAAGAAGAAAGAAAAAGGTGGAGGGGGAAAAGGAGAAGATCGGAGTCATAAAAAACACAAAGATATAAAAAACACAAAGATAGAAGTATAAGGTCAAGGCCTACAGAGATGACTCAGCGGTTAAGAGCACTGCCTGCTCTTCCAAAGGTCCTGAGTTCAATTCCCAGCAACCACATGATGGATCACAACCATCTGGTGCCCTCCTCTGGCCTGCAGGCATACATGCAGGCAGAATTCTGTACACATAATAAATAAATTTATTTAAAAAAAAAAAGAAGTATAAGTTCAAATCTGATGGTATCGAAGTACAGAATCTGATAGCAGTATATGGTCAAATCTAATCCCCACACTTAGGAGGCAGAGGCAGACAGGTCTCTCTGAGTTTGAGGCCAGCTAGGGATACAATGTTTAGACTCAATGTGAAAAACAAACAAAAGCCAGAAGTACAGATTGAGCATTTCATATTTGGGAGGTTTTCAGCATTCAGATTTCCACATACTTTAGAAATTAAGTCTATACAATTATATAGAGATTAGATAGATAGACAAATAGATAGATGGATAGATAGACAGACAGACAGATAGACAGGTCTTCTAGTACCAGAAGTTGTTATGTAGGCTGCTGGGGAAAAAGAGTCATCAACAGACTTACCCACCTGTGAACACTGTCAGATATAATGACCACTGTGGCAATATATGCCAATGAGTGCAATAACAGCATGAATGTTACGGTGGAAAACAATTACTTTCTGATTGGATTTAAGTCCTGCTCCACAGGAGAAAATGTACCAGGTATTGTCAATTTGATGAATAACCTATGGTTGAGGAGCTCATAGGTCCCAGGGGTGAACTATTATTCTGCTAAATGGACACAATATCTAATTCCATAGTTCACTACTCACAGAGGATAGTAGCTTTCAGCCCTCATCAGAGAAGTTTCTTCATGCAGTGGGCAGTGGTTAAGTGGAAACTCACTGATCAAAGTGCAGAGAACATGTATTTCTGGGGTACACAGGCACAAATGAGACATATCATTCCCCATCCAAAGCTCAGGGATCATTTCCAGAGAGGGGATGATAAGATTCTAAGGGCCAGTGGCAGGGGGTAGGGAGTAGACAAAAACATTGTCTTCTGGACATGTCAGAACTGCTATACTTATTAACTCACAGCAGTTGTGGCTGCCTACATAATACCTAAAGGAGACCAAGTCAGTCAATATTCTAACATGGGGACAGGAGAAGCTCAGTAACCCCAGTAGTAACTGAGGAGCTATTGACAGTTGATAGCTTCTGGGAAAGGGAAAGAAAGACACTTTTCTTTAAAGAGTTGATCCTAGTGGATCAACCATACCCCCAGTAGATTCCCTCATACTCAGTGGCAGCACAAATTAGACTCCATGGGTTTTTAAGAAGGAGGTGATAAGGAGGATGAGAATGAGGAGGATTTAGATCAGGAGAAGGGGGAGAAAAGGAAGAGGAGAAGGAAGAGAAAGAAAAAGACACAAAGATGGGAGGAAGAAGGAGTGGATCTGGGAGGAGTTAGTGGGAGGAGTGGGGGTAAATACCAAATACACTATATGAGAATTTCAAAGAATTGGTGAAATATTCTATCTTTTTAAAGTAGAGAAACCCTCTGAAATCCCCCCTTCTGTGTATGTGTGTGTGTGTGTTCATATGTTCCATGGAGTGCACATGCTCATGCATGTGTCTGTGGAGGCAGGAGGTTAACTTTGTGTATCCTCTATCACTCCTACCTTATTTTTTAAGTTGGGCTGTCTTCATTGAACCTGGAGCTAGCAGTTTCAGCTAGGTTGACTGGCTGGCCATTGAGCTCCTAGGATCTTCCTGCGCTGGTATGATAGACATGTGGGACCATGCCTGACTTTCTGTATAGGAGCTGGGAATCTGAGCTTAGGTCCTCACATTTCTGCAGGAAACACTTTACTCTCTGAATAATCTTCCCAGTCCCATCTGGAATTGTTTGAACATCACATTTTCACCAAGGATTTCAGATGGCGGACTAGGAATGCTCAACCTAAAGCCTTGGGAAAAGATGATGAAGAAAAGATGATGAGCAGGGAGCCTTTAGAATACTTGGAACAGCTCTTAACTTGGAGTGGGATGGAACCTTCAGCATCTGCACTGTGACTTCCCAGCTGTACTTGCTGTGAAAGGCTTTTAGGTTTCCTGAGGATTTCTTAGCTAGGTGCTTTAACACTTAAATGACAAGAGCCAACTTCTCATATGCTATATAAATATTAGGGATTAATAGGTGATTGACGTGGCTTTGGGACCAGGTTGGCAGGAAAAAACTGCTCATAACAAAATGGTGCCCAACATGGGCCCTAAGAACTTCCACTTAAAACTTGACAAAAACTTTAAAAGGGATTTTAGAAACAAAAGAACAGAGACAAGAGAGTCTTCTTGGTAGCAGCATTTTTCTCAGGTGTGCTCTACTTTGCTAGAGACAATCAATGACTCGTGCATCTCCTTTAAGGGAGGTTTCCTGACTCAGCATAAGCAGCAAACCCTGCTAACAATGGTGTGTACAAGAGCTGGCAGTGGCAGTGACCACATCTCCAAGCCAGTAGCATGCTGCTTGATGGCAGCATAGACCAAGGCAGTGAGCACAGATCTCACTGCTGGCTGTAAATGTAGCCCTGCCATCTTGGATAGACAAAGGCTAAAACAGCTGTGGCTTTCATTTTAGCAAGGATGTTGTTTAGCAGATAAAAGACTCGTAGCCAGTAAAAGATGAAGATTTACAATAAAGACAGATTCAGATAAAGAAAAACCTCTAAAGGTTTACAGTGTGTTTTAAAATATATGTAGGCTTGGGAGAGAAAAAGAAACAGGTTAACATGGTTTAAAAAAAAATAGAGAGTAGCTGGGTGTGGTGGCACACACCTTTAATTCCAGCACTTGCGAGGTAGAGGCAAGCAGATCTCTGTGATTTCAAAGCAAACCTAGTATACAAAGTTAATTCTGGGACAGGCAAAAGTTACACAGGGAAACCCTGTCTCAAAAAAATGAAAGTAAAAGAAATAGGGTAATAAAAAAAGGCATGTGAAGATGAAAAGCACACATAGAGTCTAGATGCTATATGCTATTGCATTGTCTTTGTATTGTCTGACTGCTGAGGAAATAGCAACAACTGTTAAAAGAAATGCTGCTGGATTAATCCAATTTATATATTTTAAAAATGCTTTGACTTCAAAATTTAACTCTAAGGACAGATTACTGGGGGAACGGATTTCTATTTTTGTTTTCACAGAAAATGAAAAGCTATGGATTCCTTCTAGACTAACATGATTTGATCAAGCAAGACCCCTTGAAGCAATGTCCCAGGTGATCCAACATTCAAAACAGCTGAGACAAGGCAGCTTTGTAGACCACTACAGCCAAGATTTCTGAGTCTTTTTAGGATCCGCAAGACAGTGCCTCCTACCAGCAGGAAGCAATTTGGAAAGAATGATGCCCAAATTCCCAAATAGTGTTTATAAATGTTTGTTTTCATTTAAATGGGGCTGATTATAAATGGTTAATGATAATAAATAAACTGTTTTTAAAGGTAAAAAGGGGATTATAGTATAGAAATGGAATATTTTGTTTTGGAATAGATTTTCATTTATTGATACAAATTTAAGGCCAATTTTGTGATATGTATATTTCTCCTCTTATTTAGGTACTGTGTTTATATAGCTCATTTAAGAATGTATTATTAAGAATATATTAAGAATATATAATTTAGTACAGATTATAGATAGTTACCTATAATAGTCAAAACTTTATGTTAGAATTTCTAGATAAAAGGAGATATATTTGAAATAGACAGATATTCTTCATACCTTTCAAAGACCTACAGAATATGGCATTAAAAATGGTTTAGGGTTTTTCTTAACAGTGAGGCACAACTACTTCATGGAAGAGTCTGCCAGACATTCTTCAGGACACAGAGAAAAGTGACTGACAAACTACCAACACAGTTGGGACAGTTTAAAGTTTCCTGCTTTGCTGAGGAGTCTGCCAGACACACTATGATCTATAGGCTAAAGATGGAACATTACAGAAGAACTTCAAGTGACTGAGCAGGTAAATTGTCTATGCCATTTCTAGAATTTATATACTATCCTTCTGTGGTCTTTGAGGGAGTTGAAGACAGATAATTGTGGTTATAGTTTTCCTTAGTTAGGATTAAGATAAGTTACATATAAGACTTTAGACTCACAAAGATAGGATAGATGATGGAATATTTTCTTTAAATCTTGCTAAATGTTTATGGACTAAATATTGTTAACTATAGTTCTTAGTTGACAATTGTTTTGTTATATATTTTACTGTGTTAAAGTTAAAACCCTTCTTTTTATTTTAGACAGAAAAGAGGAGATGATGGGAGTTGTCATTCTGTAAATATGTTTCTCTTATTGGTTACCAAATAAAGCCCTGCTGGCCAATAGGAAAGCAAGATAAGTGGGATTAGGAGACAAGGAGGATTCTGGGAGATGTAGTAGGGGAGATTCAAGATGTAGAGACTTGAAAGAGAAGAGGTCTGGACCTTCTGTCTGGTAAGATAAGACCCCATGTTTCCACTTAGATTAATAGAAATGGGTTAATATTTAAGACAGAGTTAGACAATAAAAAAAACACTATTAACAGGCCAACAGCTTTATATCTAATATGGCGTCTTTGTGTGTTATTTGGAGCTGATGTGGCTTTGGGACCAGGTTATCAGGAAAAACAACTCATAACAGGTGATAAATTATAGGAACTGCTGAAGCACCTCCAAGATTTAAGAATACTATCAGTGCCTGTAAAAGTCAGGCATGCATACCTAAGCATGTCTATGTATAAAAGATTTCACTAAAAAGACAGATGATAAGTATCAGAGATATTTTTCAGAAGGTCAAATGATTTGACTACCACTTACCATTCACCTCAACATCACAGGGTAATAGTAACCCAAAAGTGCCACTACAAACTACATATTGTTCCCTACCTGCCCTCGGTCTTGAATATGACCTTTTGAGGTGAGGAGGCCTCCTCTGACAATGGTAGTCTCATAAAGCGTGTACCCAAAGGACTGGCCATTCCCTTGGTTCAAAGGCAGCTGCTCCATGGAGATTGGCTTGCCAGACTTCATTGGCTGAGGCAGAGACAGAAGTGACAACCATGTTGAAAGGTCAAGCTAGATAAAAGAATCTCAGAAGTTGGCACCCATAGCCCACTTCTCCAGGGGGATGACCCCAACAGCCTTGCAAACATGGCTACTGAAAAGGTGTACACAATGATAATCATGCTTATGCATAGCACATAAACTATCTTTTTTGGTCTCTCAACCAATCCCACATTTCACTGTACATGCCAGCCAGTGAGTTATTATTATAATTTAGAAAAACAGCTGAAGTCAAGAAAAGCACAGACATTGTAGCATATGCATGTAATCCCAGAAGTTGGGGAGCAGAAACAGGGGATTTCTGGGCAAATGACTAGGAAGACTAGCCAGAACTGATGAGTTCCAAGTTCAGTGATGAGGCTCTGCCTCAATAAATAAATAAATAGACAAACAAATAAATAAATTTAAGCCAGCCAGGTCTACAGAGCTAGTGCCAAGACAGCCAGGGCTACACTACACAAAGAAAACTCTGTCTTGAAAAAAAATGAATAAATAAATGCATAAAATTTCAAAAACATAAAACTTAAAGAAGTACATATGATCAAGAAAAGCACATGACATTAACTTTGGACCTCCACATGCATTCTCACATATGTGCAAACCCACACATACAGGCACACATGCACACACTTATACACATACAACAGCAACAAAAGAACCAAGCAGCAAAGCAACCCATTGCACCTTTGGAAAACACTTGAGTTCATTTTCCTGATTAAAGAAAATGTTTGAGCTGCTTGGAGCCTCCTGAGGACTGGGGAATGCATGTAGGGGAGCCCTCCCTGGCAAACCAGCCTATCCAGAGTCTGCCAGCATCCTGGTCTCTCCTGCACTTGGGAGAGAAGTCCTGCCACCACCCACTGAAGAGGAGAGCCATTGGAGTATTGGATCCACTTGCACCCACTAGAAGAGAACCTTGTCTTGTACCCACCAGGAGAAGGGAAGAACCTACAGGTACACACTGGAGGAAGGGATGGGTAGAAGACAGTATAGGAACACAGTCAAAAACAGAAAGATCAATATGACACCCCCAGAGTATAGGGACTCCACAGCAGCAAGATGTGAACATCCTAACATAGATGAAGCAGAAGAGAATGACCCTAAAAACAACTTTATGATGATGATAGAGGCCCTCAAAGAGGTAATGAGAAAATCTCTCAAGGAAATGGAAGAAAAAACAAACAAACAAAATCAAGAAATAGAGGGAAAAGCTAACCAAAAATTGCAAGAAACGATTCAAAAAGTACAAGGTGTGAAAGCTGAAATAGAGACAAAAAAAAAAAAAAAAAAAAAAAAAAAAAAAAAACTAAAACAAAAACACAGTCTGAGGGAATGCTGAAAATAGGATGCAACCAACCAAATAAAATAGATGAAAAAGAGAATCTCAGGCTTTGAAGATACACTAGGAGAGACAGATTCATCAACTAAAGAAAAGCTAAAGACCAACAAATCCCTGACACAAAATATCCAGGAAAAGGCCAAACCTGAGAATAATAGGTATAAAAGAAGGTGAAGAAACCCAACTCAAAGGTGCAAAAAATATATTCAACAAAATCATAGAAGGAAATTTTCCCAACCTGAAGAAAAACATGCCAATGGAGGTACAAAAAGCTTACAGAACATCACAAAAAAGGTTCCCTCGCCACATAATAATCAAAACACAAAACATACAGAATAAAGAAAGACTATTAAGAGCAGCAAAGGAAAAAGGCCAAGTAACATATAAAGGTAAACATCAGAATTACACCTGACTTCTGCATGAATACTCTGAAGGTGAGAAGATCCTGGATATTCTACCAATACTAAGAGATCATGGATGCCCACCCAGACTACTATATCCAGCAAAGCTTTTAATCACCTTAGATGGAGAAACCAAGATATTCCACGACAAAACCAGATTAAAACAATACATATCCACTAATCCAGCTACACAAAGTTCTGGAAAACTTCAACCCAAGGAAGTCAACTACACCCACAAACACATAGGCAATAGCTAATCCCACATTACCAACATAAAGCATACAGCATAAAGAAAAATTAGGGGAAATCCAGACATAATAACACCACCAACAACAAATCCAAAACAAATAAGATTTAAAAATCAATGGCCATTAATATCCCTCAATATTAATGGCCTTAATGGGCCTATTAAAAAAAAAACAGAGGCTAACAGAGTAGCCTCTGCTGCATTAGAACACATCTCAAGTTCAAGGGAAGACATTACCTCAGAGTTAAGGATTGGGATAATATTTTCCAGTCAAATGGACCCAAGAAACAAACAGATATACCAATCTTAATACCTAATAAATTAAACTTTAAACTAAAATCAATCAAAAGAGATGAAGAAGGTAATTTCCTATTCATCACAGGAGAAATTCACCAAGATGAAGTCTCAATTATAAACATCTATGCCCCAAATACATAGGCAGCCACATTCATAAAAAAAAATACTAAAACTCAAATCACATATAAAACCTCACACACTTATAGTGGGAAATTTCAACACCAACACTATCAGGTCCATCAGACAGAAACTTAACAAAGAAACAAAGGAACTAACAGAAGTTATGACCCAAGTGGATTTAATAGACATTTATAGAACATTACATTCAAATGCAAAAGAATATTTCTCAGTGCCACACAGAACCTTCTCTAAAATCAACCACATACTTGGCAATATTAAAAAAAAAAAACCAATAGGTATGAGAAAATGGAATAACCGCTTGTATCTTATCATACCACCATGCTTTAAAGTTAGAATTCAACAACAGAACTTGCAGAAACCCTACAAACTTGTGGAAACTGCAGAATGTGCAATTGCTCCATTCCTGGGTCAAGGATGAAATAAAGAAAGAAAATAAACACTTCCTAGCATTCAATGAGAATGAAGACATTTGAAAGCAGTGCTAAAAGGAAAGTTCATAGCACTAACTGCCCACATGAAGAAAGTGGAGAATAGTCACACTAGAGAATTAACAGCACAACTGAAAGTTCTAGAACAAAAAGAAGCAAACTCACCCTGGAAGAGTAGACTCCAGGAAATAATCAATTTGAGGGATGAAATCTATAAAGTAGAAACTAGGAAAACAATACAAAGAATCAATGTAACAAAGAGTTGGTTCTTCAAGAAAGTGAACAAGATAGGTAAAACTTTATCCAAACTAACCAAAAAGCAGAGAGAAAACATGCAAATTAACAAACTCAGAAATGAAAAAGGGAGCATAATAGTGGACACAGAGGAAATTCAGAGAATCTTCAGGTCATACTTTGAAAACCTGTACTCCACAAAATTTGAAAATTCAATGGAAATGGGAAATTTTCTGGGTAGATATCACTTACCAAAATTAAAACAAAAACATATAAGCAATGTATATAGACCTATAAGCCCTAATGAAATAGAAGCAGTCAACAAAGTCTCCCAACCAAAAACAACCAAGGGCCAGATGGTTTCAGTGCAGAATTCTACCAGAAATTCAAAGAAGAGCTAATATCAATACTCCTCAAAGTGTTCCACATAATAGAAGCAGAGGGTTGATTACCAAACTCTTTTTATGAGACCACAATTACCTTGGTACCCAAGCCTGTGGTAGACTGATGCCCATTTTCCTGAAGAACCACCATACTGGTCTCCAAAATGGCTATACAAGTTTGCACTCCCACCAGCAGTGGAGGAGTGTTCACCATTCTCCACATCCTCTCCATCATAAGTTGGCATTGATGTTTCTAATTTTAGCCATTTTGGCAGGAGTAAGATGGTATCTCAGAGTTGTTTTGATTTGTATTTCCCTGATAGCTAAGGAAGTTGAGTGCTTTCTTAAGTGTCTTTCAGCCATTTTGACTTCCTCTATTGAGAATTCTCTCTTCAGTTCTGTACCCCATTTTTTAATAGGGATTTGCCCAGAGCCAGATGGCTGTAGTGCAAAATTCTACCAGAAATTCAAAGAAGAGGTAATATCAATACTCCTCAAATTGTTCCACACAATAGAAGCTAAAGGGTCATTGCCAAACTCTTTTTACAAGGCCACAATTACCTTGGTACCCAAGCCACACAAAGACACAACTAAGAAAGAGAACTATGGACCAGTCTCCCTCATGAACACTGAGGCAAAAATACTCAATAAAATACTGGCAAATCAAATCCAAGAACACATCAGAGAAATCATCCACCATGACCAAGGAGTCTTCATCCCAGGGATGCAGGGATGGTTCAACATATGAAAATCCATCAATGTAATCCACCATATAAACAAACTGAAAAAAGAAACGAAGTGATGCTCTTACTAGATGCTGAAAAAGCCTTTGACAAAATCCAACACACCTTCAGGACAAAGGTCTTGGAGAGATCAGGGATAACAGGAACATACCTAAACATAATAAAAGCAATATATAGCAAACATCAAACTAAATGGAGAGAAACTCAATGTGATTGCTCTAAAATCAGAAGCAAGACAAGGCTGCCTACTTTCTCCATATCTCTTCAATATTGTACTTGAAGTACTAGCTAGAGCAATAAGACAACAAAAGGAGATCAAGGGGATACAAATTGGAAAGGAAGAAGTCAAACTTTCACTATTTGTAGATGATATAATAGCTTACACAAGTGACTCAAAAAGCTCTACCAGGGAACTCCTATAGCTGATAAACACCTTCAGCAAAGTGACAGGATATAAGATTAACTCAAAAAATCAGTAACCCTACTATATACAGACGATAAAGGTGCTGAGAAAGAAGTCAGAGAAATAATTGCCACAAACAACATAAAATGTCTTACAGTAATGCTAACCAAACAAGTGAAAGACCTGATAATAAGAACTTTTTGTCTTTAAAGAAAGAAATTAAAGAAGATAACAGAAAATGGAAAGATCTCCCATGCTCTTGGATAGGTAGGATCAACAATGTAAAAAATGGCAATCTTGCCAAAAGCAATCTACAGAGTCAATGCAATCCCCATCAAAATCCCAGCACAATTTTTCACAGATCTTGAAAGAACAATACTCAACTTTATATGGAAAAGCAGAAGACCCAGGATAGCCAAAACAAAGAAACTTCAGGGAGCATCACAATTCCTGACTTAATGCTCTATTATAGAGCTATAGTCCTGAAAACAGCTTAGTATTGGCACAAGAATAGACAGCAAGACCAATGAAATTGAATTAAAAACACTGATATTAACACACACACCTACAAACATCTGATTTTTGACAAAACAGCTAAAATTATACAATGGAAAAAAAGAAAGCATCTTCAACAAATGGTGCTGGCATAACTGGACGCTGACTTGTAGAAGACTGCAGATAGACCCATGTCTATAGCCATGCACAATATTCAAGTCCAAATGGATCAAAGTCCTCAACATAAATCCACCCACATGGAACCTCTTAGAAGAGAAAGTAGGAGGTACCCTTGAACTAATTGGCACAGGAGATGCTTTTCTGAATGTAACACCAGTAGCACAGACACTGAGATCAACAATTAATAAATGGGACTTCCTGAAATTGAAAAGCTTCTGTAAGGCAAAGGACACAGTCAACAATACAAAATGGCAGCCCACAGAATGGGAAAAGATATTCACCAACCCCACACCTGACAGAGGGCTAATCTCCAAAATTTATAAAGAACTCAAGAAGGTAGTCACCAAAACACCAAATAATCCAATTAAAAAGTGGGGTACAGAACTAAATAGGGAATTTTCAATAGAGGAATCCAAAATGGCTGAAAGACACTTAAGAAAGTACTGAGCATCCTTTGCCATCAGGGAAATACAAATGAAAACAACTCTGAGAAGAGCTAAAATCAAAACAACCAAAGATAGTTTATGTTGAAGAGGATTAGAGAAAGGGGTACACTCCTCCACTGCTGGTGGGAGTGCAAACTCATACAGCCACTTTGGAAATCAGTATGGTGGTTCCTTAGGGAAATGGCAATCAGTCTATCTCAAGATTCAGTAATTATACTCTTAGGCATATCCCAAAAGATGCACATTCATACAACAAAGACATTTGTTCAACTATGTTTATAGCAGCATTATTTGTAATAGCCAGAACCTGGAAGCAACCTAGATGCCCCTCAATTGAAGAATGGATGGAGAAATGTGGTACATTTACACAACAGAGTTCTACTCAGCAGGGAATGGTGGGGGGGGGAGGAATCTTGAAATTCACAGGTAAATGGATGGAACTAGAAGAAATCATCCTGAGTGAGATAACCCAGTCACAAAAAGACATATATGGTATGTACTCGTTCATATATGGATTTTAGACATAGAGCAAAGGATTATCAGCTACAATCCACACTACCAGAAAGGCTAAGAAACAAGGAGACAGACATACATGGTCCCCTGGAGAAGGGGAAAGGGACAAGATCTCCCAAGGAAATTGGGAGCATAAGGGAGGGAAGAGGGAGTTAGGAGAAAAAAGAGGGGAGAGGTGGGCATGAGAGAGCAGGAAGATTGAGTCACACAAAGAATAGAGAAGAGCAATTAAAGAGATACCATAATAGAGGGAGCCATCATAGGTTTAAAGAGAAATCTAGCACTAGGGAAATGTCCAGAGATCTAAGGCTACCTTAAATGCCCTTCCCCAACAATGAAATTGATGACTACCTTATCTGCCATCCTAGAGCCTTCATCTAGTAGCTGATGGAAGCAGAAACAGACACCCATAGCTAAACACTCAGTCAAACTCTTGGAATCCAGTTGTATACAGCTAGGAGTGATGAGTAAAAGTGTCAAGACCAGGCTGGAGAAACCCACAAAATCTGGTAACCCAAATAAGGGCCAGCTCATGGACTCCAGTCTGGTAGCTGGGAAACCAGCATAAGACTGACCCAGGGATTGACATGTAAGACAAGCTTGTTTCAAATTTAAAGTTAAAAAAAAAAATTATCAAAGGAAAAAAAATACCTAAACCCACCTGAAACTTATACTTAAGGGCAAAAGGCTGAAGAAGGAAGTTGCTCTGTAGAACTCAAGTTAATACATACATAGGAATTATAGAATTAAAGCATTACCAATACAGTTAATGAAATATTGGATTTCATTATCAACATGACTTATTTTATTTCACCTGTACCTCTGTCTTTCCTGCCCACCCTTTATAGGATTATGTTATGTTATTATTTTACATGTATGAGTGTTTTGCCTGTATGAGCACTATGTGCATGCAGTCTGCACAGAGCTCAGAAGAGGGTGCTGGATCCCCTGAAACTGGAGTTACAGATGTTGTGGTCCTTTGGGTCCAATGCTAGAATAACTAGTGCTCTTAACCACTGAGCCATCTCTCTGTCCCTACAGGATTATTTTAAAACATAGCTCAGATGCCACAGAAATTCAATATCTATCTAACAAAGGGGGAAGGGGACTTTTTAAGTCATCACTACAATAACATAACCACAATAAAAAGCAGGGACAGTTATAAAATTCCCTAAAACAAGAGAGTTTCTAGGAAAAAATTTGCAACTGACTTTCTGTACTGTAATGTAAATATCCCCAGCATGGTTAATTATAATGCAACAAGGTCAATTGCTGCTATAAACTATTCTGGAGGCAAGTGATGAAGAAAGCTGAAAATGAGTGTGATGATTAGCAGCACCTAAATCCACTGACCAGCAGTGAAACCATCTGCACTGTGCTGGGGATATGATGCAAAAAGCACAACAGTACTACCTATGAATGAAACTCATAAGCAGAGATACACAAAAGAAAAACAGTGGCATGGTGGTATGTACACATGTAATCCAAGTGCTAAGGAGGCTGAAGAAAGACCATGAATCTGAGGCCAGCCTGGCCTACATAGCAAGACCATCTCAAAAGCACAAATAAATAAAAATAAAAATAGAAAATATAGGGCTTAGTTGATGGAGGGTACCATGTCTGCTTCCCACCACCATGTAAACCTAACATGCTGTCATAAGTTTGCATTCAGCCCCTTCTGTGATGCCTAGCTTCTGTTGTGACACTGTCCCACACAGTGCTTTCTTGCAAAACCCTAAAGGGCATCTCTCCCTGTCTTTATAAGTGGCTCCTGGAGTGCCTCAGCTTCCCTGCCTCTCCACATGCCATGTCATCTGATCCCACTCAGCTTTTAAGTCACAATACCACCCTGACTGGAGTATCCATCGAATCCTGTGACTTCCCAGCACATGGTCTGTATCTCTATAGCAAAGATAATAAAGCTCAGAGCTCAGCTCCTCCACCCATACCTCACAATACTCCAATCTGTTCCTCATTCATTCTTCTTATGCATTAGACTGGAACTTGCCTAGAATAACATCCTGATAATACCGATCCAAAATACTGATATTTGTTGAGTTTTATAAGGCTATAGCATGCAGTATTTCCTTAGACCAGTTTTCAATCTGTTCCTGGGAACTCTAGTTAGAAATGACAACATCCTAGAGAAGGATGGTTGCCACTTACAAGGGAGCAAAGTTCAGTGCTCCAGAACCAACACCCTGACTAACCTAGCCTATGTTTTTACTTTAACTTAACAATATGTTTAGGGAAAGCATCCCTCCATGAAACCACAAAATTAAAAGTCATGGTCTAGTCAATGTACTTCCATTCTAACACCTTAGGAAAGTGGGGTATAGGGCTGGAGAGATGGCTGAGTGGGTGAGAGTTCTTGCAAAGGACTTGGCTTCAGTTCCCAGTATCCATATAGTCTCTCACAATAGTCTCTTACTCTAGTTTCAGAGGATCTGATGTCCTCTTTTGGCCTCCACAGGTACACATGTGTTCTATTTACATTACGTGCAGGCAAAACACTCACACATTAAAAGAATCTTTTAAAAAGACGAAAGAAAGGAGTACAGACAGAAAGGGATAGAAGGAAGGAGGAAGGGAAGGGAGGGAGGGAAGGAGTTCACAGCTGGATCAGGAAAGGAACTGTTTCCAGTGTTCCTCAAGTTTAAACAATCTCTTCATATGTAAATGTATAATCTGAGTTCTTATAATAGGTTTCCTAGTCTGAACTGTAAAACTTGAGAAAGAACTAACACTTCCAAGGATTACTTTGTTTCCTTGGTCACTGACTCCTTAGGAGCTATCCCTTTACCTCCTATCTCTTTATTCCCAAAGTGATACCATGTGTCAATGTTCAAGAAATACTCACCTCCTCCAGATGGGGCAGGACTTCCCACAGGGTCATGAAATATAAGACTGTTAATGGTGTATAGGCAACCATCCGTGCAAATTTTGGTGGAATGATTGTGGGAGCATCTGCAATGAAAAGCACATGGCTGGCCATCCTAGGACCTACCCGAAAACCATTCTAAGACATCAGGTACCCTGCTGCCCCATGTCTTCCACAAATGAAGGACCCAGTCACATGGTTAGATGTCCTAATTCCAGGAAAAGGTAAGGCAGGTGCTAATGAGTAAGGGTTCTCTCGTATCATTAAACATCCAAAGAAGGACCCTTATTGTTCTAGAAAATAGGAACATGTTGACTACAGCTCGTAGATGAGAGATCTCAAGCTGACTGCTCATTAGAATCTCCTAAAGCCCAGCTACAAACACTCTTTCTCTCAGGTTCTGCCTTTCCTTCCCACCTCAACTGAAACATGCTTACTGAATAGCTCAGAGGAAAGGGAGCTGCGACCTCTAGTTTTTAGAGATTTCAGATGAGTTTGGCCATAGTCAGGATCAAGCAACATGGTCCTATGCTGAGCACATGATAGCAGACCCTGTATCTCATGGATTTCCAGTGCCAATGATAAACTGGATCAAACTGGGTTTCTCCCCAAAAGGTCTTCACACATTCCCCATCCTCCCCCTTCCAGAGCAGATCCCACTGGAGAAATAAATCTAAGCCACCATTCAGACTGAAGTTGCTACTAGGTACCTGTAACAAAGTGAAAAAACTCTTGGAACACCCGGTACTCAGGTGTGTATGCGCCAGACTCTGTCAGCAGTGCACAGTAGTCTAAAGAACACAGAGAAATGTGTCATTTCCCCTCAAGAAAACCTTAGGTTTCACTTCTTTCCTTATGATGAGAAAAGCAGAACAAAACAAACAAAAAACAAAAACAAAACAAAACAAAAAAAAAAAAAAAAAAAAAAAAAAAAAAAACACCTTTGCTGTGAGCAAACCTTCAGAGGGAAAGAATTCCATCTGCTGAGCTTTGATGGGTGTGAGGATGGCAAAGTACACCAATGTGTGGTTCTGTAAACTGCTAAACCCAATTAAATGTTTTCTTTTATAAGAGTTTCTGTGCTCATGGTGTCTCTTCATGAAAATAGAAACCCCAACTAAGATAGAGGCTAAGAAAGATACATTTGTGAATACTCTGGTACTCTTGAAGACCACCACTCTGATAAAGCATGATTCCGTGCAACAGATAAGCAGGACTAAGCTACTAATCTGGCTGCTCACAAAGTCCCCGAAAGCCAAGATCCAAATATCTAGTGTGGTCACAAACAAATACTAAATCTCCAGTCCCCAACACACATAAATTCAAAACAGATGAAGAGTTCCATAGAGTTCTCTTGGGGACCAAACCTTCCAGACTCAACAAGGGAATAACCTAGATTAGATATTATTCTAGGAGCTGAGTACTTGCCATAGCTGGTTACTACAGGAAGATAACCATTTGAAGACTGAGCTCCACCTATAAAGCCAAAGTTAGTGCCGCCATGGAACATGTAGAAGTTGAAGGAGAACCCAAGGGGAAACATCTCTTTCACGTCCTTCATCAGCACTGCAGGAAGGTAGGAAAAAGGTAAGAGCAGGGTGGAATTGGAATTTAAGAATTCACAGCTTGTAATGGATGTTCAAACTGCCTAGACCTGAAATCTTCAAGATCTGCCCTAACCCTGAAAAACATGTGAGATGACCCAGGACTGGTGGGAGTAGTTGGCAGTATTTGTTTTCATGATCCAAAAGTCACTTATGGGTTCTTTCTCTGGGTTTCACATATGGGTGAATCTTTCTTCCTAGGATGCAAACTGTATATCAAATATTGCTCATAACTTTTTAGGGGCATACATATGTCCAGCTTACCATTTCTAAAGCACTTATCAACTTCTTAGTGACTAATCTGAAATGATGGCTTCAACTCCATTTAAATGGCCATCATCCATTCTCCAAAGAGAGTAAGAAAACGATGATGTAAAAATCAGCTTAGTTGGGCTATATAACTTCCTACTTCTATACTCAGCACACCTTCATTGTATTTCCACCTCAGAGAATAACTCATTCTCATTACTTTTATAGCCTTGGTAGAGTGTATTTATAATGAAAACTTAAGGTTCTGTTGCAATGACCCCCAGAGGTTCTCACACTCTGTGGCCACTCCATCTGAGCAGATGTCTAGAAGGTATCTGCTTAGCTAGGTTGATGTTTATAGGATACAACCTCTGGGGGCCTTCCTTGTCCTTAAACCTTAAGTACAAAACAAAACAAAACAAAAAAAAAAGAAAAAAGAAAAAGAAAGAAAAGAAAACACAGACCATTGCCACTGGTGTCACATGCTCACAGGCTTCCCTGAAAAAGTCATAAGGAGGACTTACTTTGTGGATCTCCAAAGTTGCGGAGAGCCCCCCACGTGTCGAAGGACTTTGCTGTATATACCATCATCAGTATAGGGCTTCTACCCTGAAGGAAAAAAATCAATTAGGAAGCTCTTTGTCAATTCTGAAGCCCTGAACTGCCTGCAAGGGAACTGTGAATCCCAGTGCTTCACGCACTTTAACTCAAGGCACCACCCTGCCATATCCCAGGAGCCCTGAGTTCTGCTCTCCCATCTTCACATGACTTTCAGGCCACATGTTCTTATGTGATTTCACCTTTTCCAAGGTTTTTTGAGGGGGGAGGGGAGGGAGGAATGAACTGCCATTTCAATATTACCCCTTTAAGACATCCTAAAAACAGAATTTGGAAATTTCTAAAAAATAGAATGTTTTCATTCACCTAAGTGACCAGAGTTAAGGTCTAATAAGAAACACCAGACACAGGGAAAGTGCTAGGCTTTAAACTAACAGCAGAAAGCAATGCCCTAGAAACGAGAATGAGCAAGAGTTAGGACACAGCACTCAAATGCTATGACCTATGGACCAAGTGTTCTGGATTTACACAATTTGAATCTAAACCCTCTTTGATGTGAGATGTCATTATGTATATATGTTTCTCATACTGGTTAATGAATAAAGCACTGTTGGCCAATAGGAAAAGAAGGTAGGAGGGACTAGGAGACAAGGAGGAAAGAGGAAGTAGTAAGGAGGAGTCAAGATGGAGAGTCTGGAGAAAGCAGAATGCTGGCTGGCTCCCCGGTAAGAGAAGACCACATGAAAATACATAGATCATCAGAAATGGGTTAATAATTAAGACAGAGCTAGCCGATAAGAAACAAGTAAATGGCCAACAGCATAATATCAAATACAAAGTCTCTGTGCATTAATTGGGGCTGGCATGGTGGTGGGACAAGACTGACGGCAGGAGGAAAAACCTTACTCCTTACACCACTTGTAATAGATAGTTAAGAATACTGCAGATTCAAATTTTAACTAAACCAATTACTATTAAGATTTCTCTCAATACATAAGCCAAGAAGTCCAGGGTAGGGCAAGACGCAAAGTGGCTGTCATGTCTGAAAGGCCTTTACTTGAATGGATTTGAGCTCTTCATATGTTTCTCTCTTTATATTCTTCATGTGGACAGTGGCCAGCACTATGGGTAGAAAGAACACACATGAGATCCTGCCATGACCACACAGTGCAGGGACACAAGACTCTCTCAGAGCCAGGCTACAGAGCCTGAGCAACACCTCCTGGACATACGACTCCCAACTTCTCACATCAGTACTTCTGTAGCCATAGCTAGCAATAAAGAAATGATGCTACACTTATAGCTACATAAGCACTTGCAAAGGGATTTCACACATGGCCTCACTTAGAACTTATAGTGATGATCTTGAAAGTTAAGAAGGTGGTTAAAATATGCCACATGACACAAGTTAATACATGAGCAGCAAATGAAAATGAGACTCCAAAACTTGACGTTTTTGTTGTAGGAATCAAACCCAGGACCTCCTTCATGCTTAACTTCTAGTTCAGAACACTGTTCTAACCTTCCAGCCACAACAGAGAAGGGCCACCAAAAAAATCCAGGGACAAGAATTTTGGAAGAGAATGGAGATGACTAGATTACTTAGAGGAAAGAATTTCAGAAACTGCTCTTCTCCATCTTAGTTTCTATGTATTAATTTTCTTTCTTCGTTGTGAGGTTGACCCCATGGACATGTCCTAAGCAAATGCTCAATGCCTAAGAATTATCCCCCTCCCACCTCACCCTCAGTTCTGCTTTTATTCTCTGGACTCATTTGTTCAGAGAACTGCCAGGTCTGGGTCCATGACAATACTACTACTCTGAAACGCCTCCGTTCTCGGTTGTTCAGTCAGGGACACTTGTCAGAGCTGGAGGCAACTTTTACCTGTGACACCACTGGGCCCTGGGCTAAGTCACTAAACATTTGAAAGGGTGGAGTAATGCTCTGGTTCTAACAGCTGGTATGCAGCAAAGTTGGATCCTAATTCTCAACTCAATTTTGACCACAAGTCTTTACCACCAGGAAATGGAAGGATGAAACATGGAAAAACCTAAGCTTTTTCAATGTGCACAATGTAGAAATAAATGCAAACAATACCATACCGTTTTTTAAGTGACCCTTTCTCAGGTTCAGACCATCATCTGCCGTCATGAGCAGCTCGCTGATTCCTCTTGACACTAAAGCCTAAGGAGAAATTCAGTAAGAGAAATGGATTGCCCATAGTCTCACGAGATTGCTTCTTCCTGGGGGTGGGGGAAAAAAAACTACGACAATTTAAATACCACAGTGAAGTTGAGACATGGAAAGGAAGGCTTGATTCTCCATGCAACCACTTTTAAGTTAAAACAAAAAACGTGAGTCCTGCCTCAGTCACACTCCTCAACAGCAGTTCAAATTCCAAACCTCACACAAGAGGCAGAGAGGCTGCTGTATCACCCAAAGCAGTGATTTCTCCAAAGGACCTCCAAGAATTTCTCCAAGCCAGAGAGCAGAAAAAAAATGAATGCTTCTGTCCATGCTGTCACCAAATCACCATACCTCATGAGCCAAATCCACAGGATACACTTTCTTCAGTAGTTTCAGTGGGAAGAACAGGTGAATTGTGGCTTAATCCACCCATGGGGGCACTTTCACCCACACGAACCTTAAAAGTTCATAGTTTGACGACAAAGACTCCAGGGATACTCTCAATCAAAACTGAGAAGAGACTAAGGGACTGACGTAATTGAAGGGCAAAAATACTGATATGGTGGCTGCAGGTTCTAAGACAAGTCAAATGTGTGCCCTGTTGGATCTTTTGAACAAAAATATCTTGAAAGTGAAAAAATTCTTAAAATTCACCTGAATCCTTTGTTGGTATCAGACAATGGTTGGTTTCTATAGGACTATTTCAAAAACTAAGGAAGGCAAAAAAAGCCATTCAAGTAAGAGGAACCAGAGTGTCACTTGTCACTCAGAGCCACTGCACTCTGATTCCCATAGGTCTGAAGTTCAGTGTTTCATCCCACTCCAGTGAGCAATGTGGCTTATTGGTGGGTGACCATATAGACATGCCAGAAGGCTTGAGAATGAAAGGTGGTGACAATGTCAGACAGAAACAGACTCTACTTCTGTCGACAACTGGCTGCTTTTATTCCCACTGATCTTTCTATCATGACTACACAGTTGAACAAAATATTTCCTAAAGACTTAGTTGGAGAACCTAGACAGAGACAGAATGCAAGGAGCTGAGGTCCCAGTAAGGAGGCAGTGGCTGATCCTGAAAAACAGGATGGTTAAAATATTCAGGAAAGAAAACACTAGTGCCTAGAGATGGCTAGATGGGTAACAGCACTTGCTGACAAGCCTGATGACTTGAATTCAATTCCTGAGACCTATGTGGTAGAAGAAGAGAAGTGAGTCCCTCAAGTTGTCCTCTGACTGCCACATGTTCATGGCAGAACATATACATGACACACAGACACAAAAATACAAATAAACATTAATTTTTAAAGTTTAAAATCTTTTTAACTCATTTTTAAAAACTGGGTAAATAGCTATGTTGGTTGAGCACTCGTGTATCACCTACACAGCCTGCGGTTGCAGCATCAGCAACACATAGACTGGATGTGGTGATACTCACCTATAATCTTAGCACTTGGGAGGTGGAAGAAGAAGGGTCAAAAATTCAAAGTTATCTTGAGAGCAGAAGGAAAAGGGACCACAGGGCAGGAAGTAATAGAGCTAAGCCAAAAGTATTAGCAGCAAGTGGAAACAAGCTAATTTCTCATTCACAAAAGTCCTTGGTGGTAATGGTTGTAATGGTTATTGTTCACTATCAACCTGACAAGATCTGGAATCACCTGAGGAATGGGCCTTTAAGCATATGGAAGGTTATCTCAATTACATTAAGTGAAGTAGGAAGATCCATCTGGTTTGTGACCATTCCCTGGACTGGGAATCCTGAGCTGTGTAAAACTCAGAAAGAAAGCTATGCACTAGCGTGCAAGCATCTGTCTTTCTCTGCTTCCTGGCAGTAGATGTGATGTGAGATACTCATCCAAGTCCCAGCTGCTTTCACTTCCCTAGCTTGATGGACTGGACCTTGAACCATGAGCTTCAGTAAGTCCTTTCTCCCTTAAATTGTTTTTGTTGAAATAATATTTTATCACAGCCAGAGAAAAAGAAACTAATAGTGGCGTTTTGAGACAGAGCTTCATGTCACCCAGGCTAACCTCAAACTCACAGTATAGCTGAGAGTGATCTTGAAGTGTTGACCCTCTGAACTTCACCACTCCCAACTCAATAACAAATCTGAATATGTACATTATGTGCTGCTTATAAGTATCCTAAGAGAGAGATACATCTGAAAGTAAAAGAATTGAAAAGCACATATTAAATGTCACCCAAAAGGAAGCTGAGATATTTATAGAAAGTAAATCTATCCTAGTGTGGGTCTCTGCCTCATATTATAGTCATGTGTGTTATTTCCAGGTCTGTGATTAGAATATAACCAAAAATCAAAAATAAAACTGGACCTTATTCATCTCCATACCTCATAGTTCCAGGCAAGCTACAGGGATTTGGGTTATGTTTGCTAATCAACATAACAAACAAGAATCAGAACAAGATTAAAACAGCACTTACCGTTTTTACATATGCCATATATTTTTTATCCATATAGTAGGAGCCATACTCATTCTCAATTTGCACGGCAATGATAGGCCCTCCTTTTCCATACTGAGGGTTAAGGAGATAAGAATATGAGTGAGATACTGGTTGGAAAAGATTGGATTTTCTAAATACTGGACACACAAGTAAAAACAGCACACCCAATCCCAGACTGAATCACATTAATGGTCATTTTTCTTACTCAACATCAGTGGCTCTATGTGAGAAGTCAAATGCTTCCAAAATAGTTCCATTCAAAACATTCCCTGGATAACAACCATTTCCCCATAGTTTAATGTGTTAAGATCTTTGCATTTAGAGGGGGCACTGCCTTCAGCACCTTCACCCCTCTCATCTTCATTTGAAATGTCTTAAGGCCGTTTGTTAAAAGTAACCTACCTGTACTACCAGTCCCTCTAGATACCGCCATCTTGCCCTCTTCACCTTCGTAGTCAAACTTATAAAATAATTCCTTAAAGTTCCTCAAACATGCAGGTGCCTCACCTGGCATGTAGGGGGAAAACACTATAAGGAATCCACCTTCGTGCCAGTGATGTAGTTAGCAATATGGGAGCATCCAGGACTGTGAAATGAATTCTATGCCTGAAGTGTTTGCACACCCAAACCTGACCATAATGACTGAGGAGAAACTTTAGATAGAGTTGGAACAGGAAGATATTGAGCAAGCATCAAACACTTGGTCCCTAAGTTGTTTGGCAGGGAAGTAAGGGACACAAAGACTAAAGGTACATCTTAACTTTAAAGTGCACTGTCACTAGCTGACAAACTTGGAAAGACTTTCAAGACCAGTTTCTTCCCTTTCCCCTTTTCTCTCCTTATCTCTCCAATGAAGAACAGAGCAGAAAAGAAGAAAGAACCAGAAGCTGTCAGTCCACAGAGTGATCTAAGGCAGAAGAGCTCTAAGGCAGGAGAGCTGGAATATGATAAATTTGATTGAAACATTCCAGAGAAGAATGTTCAGCAGTAAGGAAGTACTGACTCATAAGGCTACAGGAGAATGTTTCCAAGACCTCCCACCCTTACCAGGCTCTGGATGATGTAAAACTCAGCAGTTTCCAGGTTGAAGTTGCAAGGCTGCACTATCCTAAGTTAGGAAGTGTGAACGCACTGGGCTAGCAATGATGTTTTTAAGAATCCCAGGTTCTGCTAATTTTGTTGTTGTTGTTGTTGCTGCTGCTGTTGTTCCAGAGATAGGTTCTCACTATGTATCCCTGGCTAGCCTGGAATTTGCTATGTAGATAATTTGTACTTGAGCTTATATACATCTCTGCCTGTCTCTATCCCCTAAGTGTTAAGATTACAGTTGACTACCACTATACTGGCTTGTTTTTTAATTGTTGAGGCAGGGTCTCTTGTATCAAAAACTGGTCTCAACTCTCAAGACCAGGAAGATGATCTTGAACTTTGGTCCTGCTGCCTCTACCCCCTAACTTCTGAGATTGCAAGCTTAGAATACCTCCCTCATTAGTTTATGAGACACTGAGGACTGAACCCAGGACTTTTGTGGAAGGCAAGTACTCTATCAACTGAGCTACTATCCTAACATGAGGCTCTATTTGTACACTGTCCATTTATTAGCAACCAGCTACTTGTTATTGGTACAGTGAGAGAGAAGAGTGTGACCTGGGAACTTAAGTTTTAATAATATTTTGTTTACACTAATTTAAGTAGCCATCTGTGGCTATGGCCACCATGTCTCTGAAAGGGGCCATTTCACCTATCTCCCAACTGTGCACCGGCTTGTGTAGTTTGGTCACTTATGAGTTTTAATATCTTCACTGACTAATTATAGTCTATTTCTAACAAATTCAACCATGTGAAGCATTCATCTAGACATATGCTCCAACTTTTGGCATTTCCTCCATTTAATAGATACTAATCTAAAATGATTACTGTGCGAGTAAAATAAGTTGGGTAAGCCTGATAGATATCTCATAGACGTTATGGTGGTTTGAATAGAAATGGCACCCATAGGGAGTGGCACTATTAGGAGGTATGGCCTTGTTGGAGTAGGTGTGGCTTTGTTGGAGGACGTGTGTCACTAGGAAAGTGGGCTTTGAGGTATCAGAAGCTCAAGCCTGGCCAGTGTGTCACTGTCACTCCCTGCTGCCTGCAGATCAAGATGTGAGACTATCAGCTATCTCTCTAGTACCATGTCTGCCTGCATGCTGCCATGCTTCCTGATGTGGTGATAATGGACTGAACTGCTGAACTGTAAACCAGCTGTAGTTAAATGTTTTCCTTTCTAAGGGGTACTGTGATCATGTTATCTCTTTATAGCAATAGAAATCCTAACTAAGAAGTAATTAAATGTGTATTGTTTGCTCATTGTCTACATAGTATAGACTTTCTTCAACCTAATGTGCAGTTCTGTTTCAACTAAAGCCAACCTAAGTTAAAAATATTGTTTGGAGGGCTGGAGTGATGGATCAGAGGTTAAGAGTGCTAGCTACTATTCCTGGGGACCTGGGTTTGATTCCAATGCCTACACTGTGGCTCATAACTATCTGTAACTCAGTCCTAAAGGATCAGATGGCCTCTTTGGGAAATGTACACATGTAATACACAGACATACATCCAGGCAAATACTCACACATCTGAAAATAAGTAAAACCTTTTTAAAAATATATAGAAAAAATATTTTTTAATCCAAAGGCACTAAACACTGAGGACCACAGCTGAGTGACCCAGTTCACTAGAGTACACATTATTTTCCTTGGGAGAGTATGACTGACCAGGAGCTGTGAGACCATTACCACTGCCTAGTGTCGCAAGAAAACATTATACCACTAATTGTTAGATCAGGAAAAGATACAAGATCCAAATTCAAAAGTCAAACTCAGGGTGTCAAGGAGAGGCTGGAGAGATGGCTCAGCAGTTAAGAACACTTGCTGCTCTTGCAGAGGACTGGAGTTCAATTCCCAGAAACCCATGGTAACTCACATTTCTTTGTAACTCCAATTCTAAGGGATCCAACACTTTTTTCTGGTTGTTTAGGCACCAGCACAATATTACACACACACACACACACACACACACACACACACACACACACACACGTACATGTACATACAGGCAAAACATGAATATAGATAAGGTAAAAATAAATACTAAAAAAAAGTCAAGCTGGGTTGCAAGATGGCTGTTAAGGCAAAAGAACTTACTTAAAGTCTGATGACCTGAGTTTCATCTCACACAGTAGATAGACAGACAGACAAACAAATAGACAGACATAATTTTTAAAAGTCAAACTTAAGCTCTCACAATTATCAGACCAAAAGCCCTATCTGAAGCATTGTAAGTCGGGCACTATCTGGCTTTGCTCCTTCTTATGCTCCCAAATTGTTTGAGAGAACAAGACTTCTACAAAGGACTCTCCTAAAGCAGTGTTTGTGATGTGCTGGCATGTAGCTGCCTGTGAAAGCTTGGAGAATCACCTTTAACTCCAACTTCTGGTAATCCTGAATGCAAGCTAATAACCAGCAAGTCAAAGCAAAGACAGAGAATTCTTCCAAGTGTCCTGATAGTGGAAGGGCAGATCAGAGTTGAGCAGTTGGTATGGAAAGGCAAAAGGAGAGTAGCTAACAAGCTGCAAGATCATACTGTAATTATGCAGCCATTTTATCATGAGATAGCTCAGAAGAATTAAGAATTCTTCTGATGCATAAACCAATACAAAAGTTGTATTTGGCGTTATAATCTTGTGAATGAATTGGCTGTTTCTTGCTGTAGATTCTTCCTGTAGCTTATTCCTTTCTGTAACAGACTTAGGATTTGCTTCCCACAGTTTAGCACTATCTGATCATTTACTGGGAACCAATTCCCCCATGCAGTTGGAGTTTACAGATTACAGTCCAGAGCTATATGTGTAAAACCTGTTCTCCATTAACAGGTCCTAGTTTACTGATTACAGTCCTTAGCTATGTGTGAAACCTGTTTCCCCACTATCAGGTCCTTGTTGTCCTCTCATATGTAATTACAGAATCTGCCTTCCTGCAATTACCTTTATTGACAGGCATTTGGTCAGTGTTTAGGGCCAGGCAAAAGCAACCCTCTAAGGCATTCCCAGACCTCCAAGGACACAGAATTACTACACACCCAAAGCTGTTGATTCATAGCTCCTAGATGGATAGAAAAAATAAACATGCCTTGGTTTTACCTCACTGGCAGATAGAGAAGCAATAACCTAAACTAACCCTGCACTAAAAGATTCTCAAACTTCTTATTGTATTAACTCAAGCTCAAAGATTTACTGCTCTCTCCTGTTTCCCCTGAGAAGATAAAGACAAAGGCAATCAGCCCATTTGCTCATCCTCAGGGAAAAGTAAACTTCCCTAAAGGCCTGTGCTGCCACTGAGGCTAGAGCACTGGAAGGTGCCAGCCAGGTTTTGTTTCTCATGCAAATTAAACTTAGACATCCACCCTCCCTTTGACCTACAGCCCTACGCAGCTGATGCTAAAACTTCATCCTAGCAGTTTTAGTTTATTGCTCTGTATGTAAATCTTACCTGCCTGCTGACCCTGAGAAACTCAATCCTCACTCACATCGTATTGCAAAAAGAATTACTATTACAAACTTATTTATACCTGTACCCCCAAGAACTGGAGATAGACAGAAACAGAGAAAAAGAGAATCAGAGAACAGCAGGAGAAACAGAAATAAGAATCAAAGAGCATGCAGAGGAGCAATCGTGTGTGAGCCAATTCCTTTTCCCTCAGATTTTAGTTCCTTCACTTCTTTGTAGATCCTTTTTTGAACCCTGAGCAAAAGTTTTAGAAGCAGGCCTTCTAAAGTTTTTGATAGAGAGTAATTAAATCCAGACACTGTCCCACTTTGAGATAAGATCTCAATAGGTAGCCCAGGCTGGATCCTTTCACTTCCACTGCCAGAGGCTGGGATGACAATGCACACCATCATGGCTAATTAAAGTTTAAACCCAGAAGCTTTCTTAGATAGAAACTGGAATTTCTGGCTGCTAACACACAGTAGCCCGCAAGTGCCTCCTGCTTCTCAGAGCACAGAAATCTGCAAGCAGTAGCCAGGAAATTAATCTGGCAATTATTTCCCTTACCTGTGGAGATGAGGACTGAATTTTACCTGGAACTGTGCTATCTTGGGAACCAGATGATCAAAATACCGATTCATTGCTCTAGTGAATCCCTTGTAAGTTGTCCGCAGCTTCATTTTTGGATCCTTGAGTAACCAGCTATGATTGAAGGTGAGATTCAGACTCGGATGGGAACCAGTGATAAGAAATGTTCCAGCAAAGGACATCTAAAATGTGGCCCACATTGGCACAGCCACACAGAATAGTGAGAAGTGAGGGTGCCGTCCAGCTTCAAGAAAGAGCAGTCTCTGCCAATTAGAAACATCCCTGCAGCCCCAAGATGTGGGCAACAGGGGAGGCTTTGTATGTAACTGTGATCCAAGGCAGAGTTCACAAAACTACAGTCTAAAAGCCAAGTCAGACCTGCTATCTATTTATTAAATGGTTTTGTTGACACAATTATACCCAATTGTTCACATATTTTCACTTGGGTTTTCAGGCTAATTACAGAGGCTGCATGTGGTTCAAAATGTTTGCTATCTGGATTTGTGCTATGTAGTACTGAATAGCCTAGGGTATGGAGGCTATGTAGCCCAGGATGGCTCCAAATTTGTGCCAATCCTCCCACCTCAAGAGGAATTACTATCTGACTTTTTACAGGAAAAATTTATTAACCTAGAATGAGAGCATTATAAGGCTGTTCAGAAATGCTTGTGTTTGTGTGTAAGAGGGATGGGGGGCCTGGCCACACTGGAAAATACTCAGCTAGGACAAGGAAAACAGCACTGACAGATGGTCCTGTTGCAACATGAGTAAACTTTGAAAGCATTAACTAAGAGAAAACAGTCATCAGTAAGCAAAACAGTACAGATTTTCTAAACATGTAGAGGAAATAAAGCCTCATGAATGTGCTTCCCACCCAGGGACCTTCAGAACACAACTCACCTGGGCAAGCCTCCCAGATCTAAGTCACTGCCAATGTAGGGACCTGGACACAGAATGACCCAGAGTCCCTCCTCTGAAGCCATAGTGATAAAAGCTCTGGAAAGAAAGCAATCACAGTAACATCTCAAGGCAAGGGCTTGGCATGGCAGCTCTCCCTACCTACCTCCATTCCTACCTCTCTTTCTTCCTCCCTCTCCTTCCTCCCTCCCTCCCTTCCTTTCTCCCTCCCCTCCTTCCTTCCATCCTTCCCTTCTCCCTCTCTCCTTCTATCTCCCTTCTATCCTTCCTTCCTCCTTCCCTCCTTCCTTCCTCCCTCCTCCCTCCCCTTCCCTCCTTTCTTTCCTTCTTCCTTCCTTTTCCCTCCCTCCCTTCCTTCCTTTCCTCCCTACTTCCTTCCTTCCTTCCTCTTTCTTTCTTCTGCTATTTCTTCCTCTTATGGGCTGAGTACCCAAAGGGGCAGTGACTTAGGAGATAGTGTTGAATATTTAAGACAGAAAGACTCTGAATTCCTCCTATTATTATTTGTTGGAAGAGAAATATGTGCCAGTCAGGAAGATCCTATTTAAATGAAAACAAATTTTACTTTTACAAGGGCGTGAAGCTCACATTTTACAGCATCTAACATCATCTTGAGTGATGCACACTGTCCTTTCACATCTCTAACTTTGCCTCTGCTGCACACAGCCCCTCATATTCATTCCTGTGCAACTTCATAATTTGACTCAGCTTTGACTTTACCACTGTCTTTCCTGACTTACCCTTATTCTGTGACAGACTCAATATGTTGTATTTGCCTTCCTCTCTACAGCTTCCCTAAGATATTGGCAATGCCCCAGAAATCAGTATTTTTTAATAAAAAATTATTCTACTTCTATCATGCCATATAAATCATAAACTACTACTCAGAAATCTGCTCTTGTAACTGTAAAATACTGGATAAAACAAGGTCTAGACCATACTACAACAGCAGGATGGCATGTAAACCAGTGGTTCAAAGAGGCTTCAAGCCAGGTAAAAAGTTATTAGAGCTTTTGTCTGGCTATCAAGGCAAAATTAAAGGCTGGAGGTTGGTGACAAACACCTTTAATTCCAGCAGTAAGAAATCAGAGGCAAACAGACCTCTGGAGTGTACAGTCAACCTGGTCTACATAGAGAATTCCAGGCCAGCTAGAGTTATATGGTTAGAGCCTGCCTCAAAACAAAACAAAACAAAAGCAGGGCTATATACCCATTCCTTCATCCAATCCCCAGGCACATCCCTATCTGAATCTCAGAATCAAGTAGTTAAAATATAAACACATACATGAGGTCCAAGTTTTCAGTGAAGTGAAACTGGCCCACTCCTGGCTCATGGAGATTCCAAGGAACATGCCTGTTGTATGAGAAAAAAGACCCATAAGAAGCTCCCCCATCATGCTCTACTCATATACTGACTCCTCCATTTTTAACATAGAAGCAAGTTCCTCTCTATTTGGAGAAAGCTGATTGCTTCTACAGTGAAGCCTCCAGTGTGGATACCTGCATTCCTAGCATTGAAAAACTTGAAGCAGGAGGATCAAAAGTTTAAGGCCACTTGTCTTTCCTATATTGAAAAACAAACTAGAAAACAAACAAATAAGTAAAAATTGTTGGGTGTGGTGGTACATGTCTGTAATGTCATCACTTTGAGGCTAAAGGGGGAAACTCACAAGTTCAAGGCCAGTGAAAGGCTATCAAAAAAAAAAAAACTTGGTGACACATTATCCTTAATTCCAGCTAAGGGTGATGAGGCAGGGGGATGCAAAGCTTAATGACTAATTCTGGTAGAACTCAAGGATAGCTTCAGTAATTTAGCAAGACCCTGTCTCAAAAACAAAAAGAGGGCTGTGTACCTAGTTCAGTGGTTGGTGTGTGTGTGTGTGTGTGTGTGTGTGTGTGTGTGTGTGTGTGTGTGTGTGATGAAAGATGTTCTGGGTACAATAAAGAAAAGGAATGAAATATGCAAGTTGGAACAAACAGAGGGTATACACAAAGAATAAAAGGCCAGTGATTTTTAAAAGATAATGAAAGATCTGGACATGGTGGCACACTCCTTTAATCCCAGCATTTGGGAAGCAGAGGCAGGCATATCTCTGAGTTCAAGGCTAACCTGGTCTACAGAGCAAGCTCCAGAATAGCCAGGGCTACACAGAGAAACCCTGCCTCAAAAGGAAAAAAGAAAAAGGAAAAAGGAAAGAAAGACATAAAAAAGAAACTTTTGAAAACAACAATAGAAGAAGAAAATACTTGGAAAAAACAGACAAAAATTTCCAAATTTGATATAAATAAATTATATACAGAATCTACCTCAAGAAGACACAGGATCTGGAGAGATGGCTCAATGGTTAAGCACTTGTTGCTCTTGCAAAGGCCCTAGGTTTGATTCCCAATACCCCTAACCATCCACAACCTCAGTTCCCAGGGGTTCTCTTCTGACCTCTGCAGGTCTGTTTACTTCAGATTTTCAGTCCTGGTATACAACTTTTCATACTGTTCTGTGAGTTACTTTAGCATCTTTTTGTCATATTCATTCTATTTCTTTTTATTTACATTTCACATATATACATATATAGTTGTATATAGATTACCTATATGTAATATACTCACTGTAGAGAACTGGACATTCCCTTATGCTTCCTCCTGGGGAAGGAGACAGTGACCATTTGACATGCGCTTAGAACATTCTGTTCTTAGAGCAAAAGCTCCAAGGAGACTGATTCACTGAGTTCTAGCCAGCCTAAAAAATACTGTCTGCCTCCAGCCTACTCTCTGCTTTCACATGGAAGACAAAGTCATTTAAATCTGTTTCATGATAGCAAATAGAGATACAAGACATCCTAAACATAATGCACCTTTGTGGTTAGTTGTTATTTTGATGATGGTTTATTGGTTGTTGGCTGTTGGCTGGTTGGTTGGTTAGTTGGTTGGTTGGTTGGCTGGCTGGTTGGTTTTCTTGTTTTGTATTGTTGACAAATCTTATGTAGCCTAGGCTAGGTTCAATTTTCTATGTAACTGGGGCTTGCCTAAAACAATCCTCTTGCCTTTACCTTGCCTAATCCACAATCTTGATATGATGACTAATCTTGGTTGTTGTCTCAGTCAGGGTTTCTATTGCTGTAAAGAGACACCATGACCACAGCAACTTTTATAAAAGAAAACATTTAATTGGGGCTGGCCTACAGTTAAGAGGTTTAGTTCATTCATCATTTCAAGAAGCATGCAGGTAGGCAGACAGACATGGTGCTGGAGAAGTATCTGAGAGTTCCACATTTTGCATAGGCAACAGTATGTGGTCTTAGACACTGGGTGTGGCTTAAGTATATATGAGACCTCAAATCCCACCTCCACAGTGATACCCAACAAGACCATACTTCCTAATAGTACTCCCTTTGAGGAGCATTTTTTTTTTTTTCAAATCACCACAGTTGATTACATCTGGAATTAACTAAAACTCAAGCATCTGGGCATGCTTGTGAGGGGTTTCTGAATTGGTTCATTTGAAGCGGGAAGATCTGCCTGAAATGTGAGTCACCTGAGGACAAAGGACCCACCCACTCTAAAATCAAGACAGTCCACAAAGAATGACACAGGAGAAGGATGCTCTTGATTTTTGCCTGCTTGCATTCATTCTCATTGGCAAGTTTACCTTTGCTGGTATTAGAACCTGTTTCTATGGGATTCCAATGCAGAGTGAAGCCAGCATCTCTCTAGGATTTCTGTGATACTCCAGTATTGGGGCTACTGAACAGTTACTGGATTCTTGGCAAACTACTCAGGCTACAGTAAATCACTCTAATAAATCCCATATACATATTTCTGTCCCTTTAGAAAACCCTGAAGATAACTTAGCTAACAAATATCTTTCTTAATAATAATTTCAAAACGAAGTCTCGGCTAAGAATAAGTTGAAAAACATTCTTAAACAAGAACCAGAAGCAGCAACTCACGTGGTAAGGGTGTTGAAGCCACCGGCATACATCTTCCGCAAGCTGATTCTCCAGTGTTGCCTAAATATCCGGAAGTAGTCTATAGTGCCAGATATGATCCGGAATGGGAAACCTTCTAGTGTGAATTGTGACCCCTCAACCTTCAAACCTACCCTTCGAGTCACCAGCATCAAAGGAGTCAAGTGACTTTGATTAAGCCTGCAAGGATAAGAAGGTATGTGATTTCTAGAGCACAGGCTGGTGAACCAAAAGGTTCAGGAAAACTGATGAGTTTAAGGTCAGTCTGGGATATAAAGCCTACCCTGTTTCTAAAGAAACAGGAGCTATGGGCATGGCTCAATGTGTAAAGTACTTACAGACATGTCAAATGTAATAGTGCATGTATCTAATCCCAACATCCCTGTGGGGAAATGGGAGGAGGCTCCATTGAGGTGGTAGTGAACAAGAGAGTCTCAAACAAAGTGGGAAAAAAAGACTGACATCTCAAGTTGTCTTCTGACCTCCACACATGCACAATGGCACATGCACACATACATGCACATATCTACCACATGCATGCATGCCTGCCCCCCCCACACACATTTTTTTTGTTTGTTTGTTCATTTTGTTTTTTGTTTTTTGTTTTTTTAAGCTTTTCCCTTGGAAGACATAGGTGTACCTTAAGTGGAACCTCTGCAGTGATCTGAAGCATACATACCTGGGTAACTGGTCACGGTTGATCAGAGCCATTACGGATAAGGCAGAAGACAAGTACAGGATGCATTCAGGTCTCCCCAGGAAGGTCCACATACTAAATAGGATAGAACAGAGGGGTCAGAAATAGGGGTAGAGGAAAGAAGTAGCTAGGGGGCTGAAAGGAGCCTTCCTTGAAGAAGGGAGACGGTAGCCTATTGGGAAAGCAAAATTTGTTCCTGGGCTTTGTGTTAGCTGGAATCAGGACAGCATCTTGAAGACAAGGCTGCTGGCTGGAGTAACTTCACAGAAATTGCTGGCTACATAGCTAGGTTCTCAGGCACCATATACACTTTGGTGTGGCTCAAAATCCAGTCAAGTAATGGTTTAAATACAGTGGCACATAAACTCCCAGATACTTCCACAGCTGCCCAGCCACTAAGGAATGAATCCTAATGGTGTCCTGCATAGGGAAAGAGGAATTGCTTCATGGAAGGGATCAATTCTTTGTCTCCAACCCAATTTTTTCATTTGTTTGTTACTGTTGAAGATCAACTTATGGATTGCCAGAATATATTTACTGTTTTTAAGAGTCTGTTGAGGCCTTTATGGCACTCATTCTGGGACAAATGCATCAAAAATGTTGGGGTCTAGGATGTCCTGAGCTCATTCAGCAGAATCCCCAGGATGTGGTGACACCTGCACCCACAGCAGAGCCTGACTCTGCCAAGTTTTCTAATTAAAATGGTTATGTTCCACTTTGTTTTAAAGTTTAACATAATTTAACCTAAAGTTATTATATACCTATTATTAAATCAATGAAAACACACACACACACGCACACACACACACACACACACACACACACACACACACTTTCTCAGCCTGTAATAATCACTCTTCTACATTCAGATCAACACCACCACCACTACCATAAGTTTTTTTGTGCAAATTCTATGTTGCTAGCATTAACAAAACATCTATCTAGACATAGCTGGAAATGAGTAAAAGTTTGGGAAGTCATAGGAAACTTTAAAAACAACCAAAAATTAAACCAAAGGCTTTGAGGGAGTGCTGCCAGGATACAGGGCAGGTTTGGGTGGTAGGAAAGGATAGAATACACTCTGGCAAGCGTTCCTGGGAGAAGAGCAACCATAAAGGAAAACTTTGAGGGAACCTGAAGGAGAGTCCCAAGTGGAATCCTCAGCCAACCGCGCTGATGACCCCCCCAAGAGAGGTGTGCAGCCAGTCTTTGGAGGCTGGGGGTTGCGAGAGTGCAGAGAGACCTGGACTCCGCTGTGCCTGGTATAGTTCAGAGGAAACGCGTCTGGGAACAACTGGACCTGTTTCAAATTCTGTCAGCACAATTTATAACTTCGTGAAGGCTCCAAAGAAAGTGAAACGCCTCTTTATTGCAGATTTAACTGGAAAAGAGCTGGGTAGCCTGTGGGCTCAATCCATCAGCAGGCTAACTTCCCACAGAGGGCAGGGCTCCCATTTTTGGCCTCTCCTGGGTCAGACCGTATTTCCCAGGTCACCTCCTTGTTGCATTCTAACTGTAGCTCTTATTGCACTGCCCTTTGATTTTGCCACTAAACAGTTGAAAGTTTGACGTAGGATGAAGCACTGAGATTAATAATTTTTTCCCCAAAATTGATTTCCTTTCTGAAGACTTGCATTTTTTTGTTTGTTTTGTTTTGTTTTAAATCTCTTCTAGTCTTCCTTTTCAGACAAATCTCTGTATTCTCATGCTTTTCCTGGAGTAAATCAGAATAAAATCTCCTTAGGAAAATACACTCAACTAATGGAGTTTTATCTTTTCTGTCATTTCCTTAATTTACAACAATGACTCTCGCCCTACCCCAGGCAGGGCTTCTCTGTGTTGCCCAGGCTGTCCTGGAACTCTCTATGTAGACTAGGCTAGCCTCAAACTCACAGCCTAGCTTTGCTACCCGAATACTGGGATTAAGGGCATGTACCATCACTGCCCATCCACAACTACAATTTTAACTCATTACTTTCTCACAAATTCTTTCCTACTTGCCATAACTTTCATGCTCTGTACTTCCACTTTTACTGGTAGGTAATCTCACCTTTTTTAATCTAACTGAAGTGGGCAACAAATGACTCCATATTCTCCTGTCACAGTCTGGAAATACATGAACAAGAACAAAACATACAGAGACAAAGAGCCTGTCTCTGGCTCTTTCAGCAGATTGTCCCACTCTGTGGCCTGGTGTTATCCTCAGTGATATCTCCATCCATGGCAACAACCCTTTTAAGTCAGAAGCCTTCTTATACTTCTTCATGGTGGGGCTTCCACCTCGCTAACATCAGATAACCCTTGGCCAAGACACTTGATCCTAATACTTCCCAGACACAGCAGTGTTCCTCATCAACTCTTCCAAACCAGTTTTCATCATTCGTTGAATTTCCAGTTTTCTCTCATTTACTTCCTTTACAGCACTCATTTTATAATATTAAATAATCCACGTGACTTTCTGTGTTGTTGTCTGTGTTGCTGTCATTGCCTGAGTAGCCTCCAAGTTCTGGGATCAAAGACATATGCCAGTGTGTACTGATTCACATTGCTCTTACATTTGAATATTTGCAGACCTCCACACATGCAATAAGTCAACAATTATTTATACTGCAAACTGATTGACAGACACACTTTCTACTTAAAAATATCATTGAGCCAGGTATTAGGCATGCCTATAACTCAATACTTGAGAGGCTGAAGCGAAGGTACATGAGAGCTCAAGGCCAGCCTGAGATACATAATGAACTTAAGACCAGCCTGAACTACATAGTGAGTTCAACACCAGTCTGAGATACACAGTGAAGTCAAGACCACCCTGAGCTACATGGTGAGTTCAATGCCTGCCTGAGCTACACAGTGAGATCAAGTATCAAGAATCCCCAAATAAATACATAATAAAAATACTACTGGAACTCAGATAAATGTTTGTAGCTGAAATATCAGCTATATTAAAGTAAATTATTAGGCATTTGTATTTTCTATTTAGTTTTTTTTCAGTATCCCTGTTTCCCCCCTTGACGTTCCCTCTTGTTTCCAGTTGTTACTGTAACTTCTGTATTATATATCCTTTGACTTGCTGCTGCTGCTGCTTATATGGCTATCTTTAGTATTTATATAGTAATATTTGTTGTAGATCCTATTATAGTCTAGCTATTTATTATGTCAGAAATTCTCTAGATACCTCGTCCCTGAGGCCATTTTTGCCCATTTTCTTCTAATATTTCTGGAGCTTTTCATTTGAATCTTTGATCTCTAAGTGTGTATTTTAATACAAGTTATCAAAGTAAGTGAATTTTACTTTTTATTCTACAAATAACTAGCAGATTACTCTAAAATTTAATTCTTTCCTAATTTCAGAAAGAATTATTTATCATATAGTAATATACTAAGTTACCAACTATACTCGTTTCTAGATTATTTTATTCCATTGCTCTTTGTATATGCTAGGTCAACTACATAATGAAAGCCTAGGGCTTGCCAGACAGTTTCACAGTCATATGTTCATTCATGCATCATCAAAATAACACTGACACTTGGTGCTCATAGTAAAGTGTAAGACAAGCCTACTCTTCTAAGCTCTGTTCTGGACGTTGGTAATGCAACAGTGTGGGGGAAAGATGACAAAAATTTGTGCTTGTGGAGCTTACATCCTAGTGCAGTAAAAACATAGCATAGAGGAACAACACTAGAATGTATACTATGTTACTAATTAATAGGTACTTTAGGGAAATGCATAATAGGAAGAGTGGCAAGAATAGAGAAGGGAAGGGGAGAGAAGGGTGATATCAAAATACAGTAGCATTTTAGGCATTGGTTTGTCAAGGGTCTCTCACCAGAGGATGATATGTAAGCAACTGCCTTAAGAAGTAATAAGTGAAAAAAAAAAAAAAAAAAAAAAAGAAGTAATAAGTGAGTGATTTCAATTCCTGATGGAAAACCACCTCCAGACAAGAGTGCAAGAACAAAAGCTCTGAGGCAGAAACACTTTGATGTGTAGGAGAAAGGCACTGAGGCATGAAGAAACTTAAGAAACTGGAGGCTGATAGATCAGAGAGGTTAATGCATAGGTTAAATCATGTGGGACTTGGGAGATCAAAGGAAGGGATTTAATTTTTGCTCTAGGCTGGGAAGGCATTGGGGTATTTTGATTCAAGGAATAACATGATCTGAGTTGCACATTAACATAATCTAAAGTGCCAGGGGTAAAGGGAGAAGAAAACAAGATTTTTCTGTCAACTAGGTGAGAATTCATGATGGGTTGGACCAGTGTCACAAAGAGATAAAGTCAAGTGGGGTTACTAATTAGTTGGATGTGATTGTGAAGTAAAAGAATGACTCTAAGGTATTTTTCTTTCTTGCAAAAAGTGGGAAAATTGAATTGTAATTTATTAAATAGGAATGGCCACAGGAACTTGGTTTACTTTTTTTTTTCAAATATTACTTAACTTTATTAAATACAAACTTCATGAACACAAATGCAAGATTTATAGTTAATAAAAAAATTAAATTCAAACTTCCTTTTTATTTCTTTGCTTGTTTGTTTTACTTCTCAGCAGTAGTTTCTCCCTCCTCTCCTTCCAGTCCCTCCCACTCCAGCCCCTCTCTGTTCTCATCCTCAATCCACTCCTCCATTTCTGTTTGGGAAAGGGCAGGTCTCCCATGAGTATCAACAAAATATGACATATCAAGTTGCACTAAGACTAAGCACTTCCTATGTATTAAGACTGAGCAAGGTGACACAGTATGAGTAGGGTCCCAAAGCCAATAAAAGAATCAATCCCTTTTCCCACTGTTAGGAGTCCCACAAGAAGACCAAGCTACACAACTGTGACATATATGCAGAGTGCCTAGGTCAGTCCCACGCAGGCTCCCTGGTTGTCGGTTCAGTCTCTGTTCAGTCTCTGTGAGCCCAGATTAGTTGATTCTGTCAGTTTTCTTGTGATATCCTTCACCCCTCTGACTCCTACAATCATTTCTCTCCCTCTTCTGCAGGATGCCCCGAGATAGGAGTGTTCTGGCACTCCAGGTGAACTCACTCTTATGGCATGAGTTTCAGGCTAGACCAACCATTGGTTGTCCTCTCCCACAATTCTCTGTACCACCCTTAACCCAGTACAGAGGCAGGATAGACTGTAGCTCAAAGGTTATGTGGCTAGGTCAGTGTCCCAGTTCCTCCACTGAAAGTCTTGCCTAGTCACAGGAAATGGCCGATGACCAGTTCAGGCTACATATCTCCTATTGCTGGGAGTCTTAGCTGGGGTCATCCTTGTAGATTCCTGGGAGTTTCCCTTGCACTCAGTTTCTATCTCACCCTAAAA